CTTCGCTGTGCATAGCATACAATAAAAAAATGGACACCCAACAAAAAAAAACCTACCTAAAAGCCTGACATGATGATAGGATGGGACTAGGTAAAGGGAAAACTTAAAGTAAAGGCAAAGGTACTCATGTCATCGTACAATGTTGGACATGCAGTACAGAAGCACACACCTGCATAGCTATATCCGGCTGTGGATTCTGTTCAAAATTTGTTATAGACTGATCTGCCTTAAAAACTTTCACACACTTTCACCTACCATGTATACATGTAATGTGCAATATTGGGAATGAAGTACAGAAGCACATACCTGCATATACATGTATGTAGCTGTCCAGTGGATTCTTGGAAACCGGTCACTACACTAGTATCACTTCTACGTAACTATGCAAATTATAACGATCTCTACACAAGTACTGAGGTCCTCACCGCAACTAGTTAGACCAGTTCTTATGAAAGGGGGTCCCTCAAAACTGACCAATCAAGGTATGTTAGAGGGCCTGCATGGGGGGTAGTGATTACGAATTACGCAAAATTTTTGCTGCTGATTACGAAAATTATGTTAAATTCTCAGAGCTGATTATGAACAGTTAAATTATATGCATTATGGTATACATGTGCTGATTACGAATCACGATGATTTTGGACAGCTTCCAAGAAAAAGATCTCAAACCTTCCCTGGGAGGAGGCAGAGTCAGTAGCAGCTGACAAAAGGAGGTGGAAGCTTGCTGCCCGATGTGCCTGGGAGGAACTAATAACCTCCGTATCAGGCTTATAGAACTGGGACTGTTTCGTGGTCTTTGGCTGTAACGGGGGTAATTCAACCAGGCCGGCTATGTTTATGTCTATATGCAATCAGAAAATAGCACATAAAAGCTCCAAAAGACCATGAAGACCCCCAAACCCCCCAGTTTTTGGCTTGCTACATGTATGTGAGGCTAAGGAACTAAGGTCTAAGATACTAAAAGGTCTACGGATTACGAAGACTAAAAAGACCTGATTACGCCTTACAAAAACGCATGCAGACCCTCATGTTCTTGTTATGCCAGGGGCCATTTGACCCACTTTCAGACATCAAGAATGACCTATTCGATTTCAGGGTAGGATTTCCAACATGGAGGAAAAAGGGTCTTAAAATTATAGAGTAGAGAAGAGTAGCAAATATATGCACTTTTATACGTCTGTATGTATGAATACCTCAATGGCAAGCTTTGATACATGACTGTTTTATACAGACGGGTGTGCTTAAAATGAAGCACAGAAAATCCCTAGTCTTTCAAAAACATGGAACAATCCAAAGAAGTTACCGACAGTATCCATTCCAACATTTTTCTGATATTCCTATCCAAAAAGCATTGTTTTCAACACACCACGGAAAAGTCACTGTTCAAAATTTGCTTCAAAGTTCATATTTCACATTATCATAATTTAGGAAGAAACATTTAACTACTCCTTGCAAACTAAGTGTTGAACTATTATATTACAAACATGGTCAGAAGATAGGTGTATCTTTTACCATTGTTTGTGTAACCTCCCTTACACTTGGCAAAAAAAAATGCAACAAGCTTCTGCAAAATATATTTGAAGGTTCATGTAAATCTGCATATTTTTGCTAATCTTTTCTTTTAGAAAATAAAAAAGATTGTCAGCTCCAAATTTGAGAAAGCAAATCTGTAACACAGTTACTACACATGGCAGGATCCATTACTAAGAATTGCCACACGCCCTGATGCAGACATGTAATTGTAACACTATGCTACATTCAGACATATCACATCACGCTGCATTTGTTACATTCCCAGGCTGGCCACAATGCTACATTTCTCTCACTGATTTTCCCTCATAAAATTATAGTAAGGCCATACAAATTTTATTGGTTAGCTCTTGGACTTTTGAAAAATAAGCTCAACCAGAAAAATATCATCAAAATCAAGTTATGGAGTGAATACAGTCATACTCAAGTTTCTGCTTTTTTTTGTGTCTGCTTGCTACATGTTCATGATCTACATATACAAGAAGCCACCAAGAAAGCACATTGTGGCCTAACCAAAATCTGGTAGCTCACATCCTTATTTACAATAGTGATTACAGACACAACAGACATGGCAGCATGCTACAGAAAACTACTCTCTCACAGTATTGTTACATGAGACTGCAGGCATGATCATGAATGGTGGTGAAAAGGCAGGTAAACAAACAATACACAGGGAGTAGGGTATCTACCTGAGGTGAGGCACAGATTGTGCAACTGGACATTTTAGAAAATGCTATTTACCTTAAACTTTTAAGACCACAGAAATCTGTTTTCTTGGTTTTTACTTTCTAGCATAAGAATCAAAGGAGTGAAGATGAAATTTAAAACACAGGGCTGGGAAGAACACTTGGATATAGCGTTACATGTAATTCCCTTAAAATTGTGTGTACCATTTACAATTACAGACTTTCCCCACAGACCCTGTTTTATTGTTGATCTTATAGTTTCTTTTTAAATACATGTACAAGAACAAAAAATTATATCAGTTTTCGGCTTTTTCATAGACTATAGTTTAAATCTAACATATCTTCAACTTTAGTATATGTTTAACAATAATTTTTTGGGGTGTCATACGACTATTTCAGATTTGTTTCTTAAGATTATGTATAACATTATTTTCTCGAGCCCAAGGAATCTGGTCTAATTTCTTCCCAAGGAACTTGAAGAATAGCCTTTCTAAGATTTCAGGTTTGTTTCTTAAGATGTATATTCTCAAGCCCAAGGAGATGGGTCTAGTTCTTCCCAGCGAACTTGAAAAATAGCCTCCCGAAAATAGTTTCATCAGGTTGGTAAAGTATAGGATATAATGGGGTTTTCTTTTAAACTTAAAGTAGGCAACTATCTTGTTTGTGTAAAAGAAAACTTCTGTATCCTTGAGATTTCAGGTTTGTTTCTTAAGGTATATATACTCAAACCCAAGGCCTGGTCCAGTTTCTCTCAAAGAACTTGAAGCACGGTGTGTGTGTGCGGAGCCACTTCTGCACTGACCCGATTCTATTGAAATTTCTCCAAGCAACCCTTTGATAATCCAACCATTGACTGAGCAAGCACTCGAGCACTTCTGTGGAACTTTTAAAGCACACAAACTCACCTGTTGTCTGAACAACTTCAAAGTCTTATTTTCTTTTTATCTACAAACCATGCTTGTTGGGCTTGTCTTAGGTAAAATGAACTCTAAAACATTGAAATAACATTTATTTCTTGTTTTGCAATGAATATAACATTGTACCATTTTGATAAACAACTGAAAATAAAATGGTACCGAATGCAAAAAAAGTCAGCTAACACAATTCAAAATAATGTGAACAAATGCAAAATACAAATAAAAATTGATTTGTAGAACACTTTATGAAAAATTGTATAATTTGACAAATCCAACTTCTCAAAGATTAGAATGTTTTGAAACAGTTATAAACAGCTAAAATGAACCCTACTGAATGCAAAAAAAGTCAGCAAAGAAATCAAAGAAATAATTTGAACAAATAGTTTTAGGGGAAAGTTACAATACTAGAGCGTTTTATGAAAAATTGTATCTTGATACAAACAAAGTTATAAACAAGCTAATTAAAATGAACCCTACTGAAAGCAAAAAAAAAAAAACCTCAGCAAACACTATTTATTCTTATTATTCTAAGAAATGATTTGAACAAATGCTATTAAAGGAAATCGGTTTATAGTAGAGAATTTTCTAAAAAAAAAGGTACAATTTGAGAAATTTACAGCACCGTAAAACAATCCCACTTGTTTACGCAATGAACATGGTTTGACCCACCATGTTAGATCTCTAGCAGACGACGTTTTGAAGTGAACCCAAACTGACGGAGGCAGTTCTTACAGCGTATGGAAAGTATAATAAATAAATGATCGATTGTGTAAAATGTGTATCCCTGAGGGGAAACCCGGTGTCATAAAACGAACCATAAAAATCGGCATGACGAAAAGCTTGCCAAATATTTGCAGACGACATTTTGACGCTGATGATTTTTTGATGGCGCTTTGGTGTCATCTGTACCCTAACAACAGAAAGAAACAACTCAGAAATAACACTGTTGAGGGCTACCGTCTTGAACTTAAAGATATTCTGGTCTTGTCAAAGTCTTAGGAGACGTGTAAAGACTTAAGAAATGGTTTAAAGCGAGCGAGTGAACCAAGGGGCGCCACTCAACAGCAAGCGCATATCGCTCTCAGGAAAAACAGACGATCTTTTCTGCTCAGTCGAATGACAACATATGCGAGGAGCCCGTCCCCCTCGGCAAATTGTCCACTTCCCGCCCAATTTTTGGGCTGAAAATCTACGAACAGATAGCAGACGTACCTTGTACTTGATGTTCAGTCCTCTCGGGTGCAGTTTTGGCCGCAAAATGTCCGAAAAAGGCGAGTTTTGGGCCCAAAAACGCCAGCAGGCCTCCGAGGTGTGAAGCGCGGAGATTCAAGTGAGCCGCGAGTGGGCGGGGCCAAAACGGACGGTACCAAACAGTGCGGAGGAAAAGGGGGTGTTGGTGTGTTCATGGCCTGTACACGGAGTAGAAGCGCCTCTAGCAGTTCGGTTGTAAAGTGCAGCTTACTTCGATTGGACTCTAACCTTGGTGGTCGGTAAACCTGTTCGAGATTTCTTGGTTTTGGCTTAATTCTACGCGTTTTGCTGGGCTAAAATAACAACGTAGACACACTATGGGAGCCTTCTATGCTAATGCAAGGGTATATTCATGAGTTTTCAATCAACTTTTAAGTAAAAATGGGCTTTGAGGTAGAATTAGTGTAAAGTAAATAATGTACATATAACGTTATTATATAATATATAACGTTATAACTTATTATTATAAGCAGTCACTTATGTTGCCAATTCACTCTCATGCACACACAGACACAGTAACACAAAAAAAGAAAGTAAAAAAATGATTGTATTTTCCATCACTTGTAGTTGAAGTGAAACAAAACAAAACAAAACAAACATCCATGAGAGACAGTAATGACTTCTTTCTCCTTTTTATTATAATATCCAGACAGTACAAGTTCAACTGGTGTTCAGTTTTGTTCCAGTGTTGAAGGTTCTGTATTCTTGCATTTGAAAGACCATCTATACTGTCAAATGTACACAACATTAATTCATGCTTGAAGATCCTGTGCATTGCTACAGCATGCTATATAAGCTATAGCTTTATTTTTACACATGTTGCACAATTGCACTAACGTATAATCGAAAGCAAACTGACCTGGCCTTTACAAAATTTCAGATGCACCATACAGGTACTTGCTTTCCATGGAAATTTATCATATCTTTCAGTTTAAGAATAAACAACACATGTATGTTCAAACTAAATGTCTTTCCTTCTTTATCAGAACATCAGAGGCTCTGCCCTGATAATCACAAAGTCCCACCAGCTTGAAAGTTCATCTGTGTTGTTGTTACTAGAAACCTTTCTGAAACAAAGTTGCACTGCAATTGTTCATTTGTTCGTTTGTATATTTAGTACAAAACCTGTACCTATCAGAAGAAGTGGATTGATCGTTTGAACTTGAGAATGACTGGAGTTGGAGAGTTGAAAATTTGGAGGAGTCCAAATTTTGTGATTGAAATTACAGTTCAAAAAACTTGCTTTAGAAATATATTCCACTACACTTACAGCAAAAAGTAGTTACTCGAGCAACTGTGACCGTTTCTAAAATCATATCCAGTTGCTTGAGTGACTGCTTTTTGGCATATCTTATTACCTGGATGTCTAACCTTCACCGACGTCCCACTACACTTGTTTAGAGGAATAGTGGAATGCCCACATGTCAGATGACTTCTGTCAATTCAGTACCTCACACTGTATACTAAGTACCTCAGACCTTGTGCATTACACCTTTAGCCATGCACAGGTCACCACTTATTTACCACAAGATCAACAAACAAATAAACAAACAAACTTATCAACAAGAACAAATCTGTTCAGAAGAAGTAGAATATTTTACAACATTTTGTCTCAGTTTTCGAGGAAGGCGACCAGGTCTGTGAACTGTTGTAGATGTTGGGAACTTTCTCTGGGAGGGACGACAACTGAAGCTGGAACAATAGAAATCAATCAATCAATCAATCAGTAAAAATCACTGAAAACTGATCAATACAATATCAATTGGCCAATGTGTCTATGGCACAGTATTGGAAGGCAGAGCCCATCCCTCTCCTTCCACTGCCTTTTAACGTCTTCCATGGCTTACAGAAGAGAAGTCAAACCCTTCAGACATAGTTTTAGACATAGTTTAAGTACAATGTAGTTCTAGACAGCTACCTTCATCATGTAGACTTTAGTTATTTGATACAAAATGTACTATGTTTCGTTGTTCTTTTATGTTTTATAATTTGCAATTAGCCTCCGGGCATGAATTTGCAATAAACTTTTCATTTATCTCCCAAACTGATGTCAGGTACCCATTTTACACCTTGGTGGACTGAGGAAAGTCCCAAGGACACAACAACAGGAATGATGCCAGGAATCGAACCCACGACCTCTCAATCTGGTGTCTTGTTGCCATAACCAGGAAAGGGGAGGTATATCTTACCTGGCTTCTTTGGTGTGATCATCCTGGTCTGTGGATCTGCCTGCCAACCTCTTTCTACTACAGCTGGAAAGAGGAAGGTGCAATGCGTTTAAAACATGACAGGTACCAAGTGGGAGAAACACCACCACATGACCTCACACTCACAGGCCAACATGTCAAAATGCACAACACAAACTACTGCTGGTACATGCGCAAAATCTTTTCTTGTTGTACCCCCCAGCGATCATTTTGATCTCTTCTTTAGATCTTGTGACAGAGGAAATATTTTAATGACTACCCAACAGACTGGACCCTGCAAACCTCTCTTCTGTATAGCTGGAAGAGTTTCATGGTAAAGGAAAAAATAAAACAATAACTTTAACCAAAGGTACAAATGTATGTGTGATATGCCTGGTATGGTGGTTAGTAACTCACAAACTCACTCCATATCAACATTGCAGACATACATATAATGTTACCTGAATGACATTAATATTTACAATACTAAAATAAACACACACTAGTATATACAAACTTCTCTTATGAACTGTACATTCCAGACATAACAAGTACCATTAGAATTATACAGTCTGATTGTAGAGTCTGATGGACTGGCTGCCTTACCCTTGACTGCTTCGTCCACAGACAGTCCCAGGAAGGCAGACAGGTCCTCTGCACTGATGGAGGAGTAGGCTCGGGCCACCAGGTCACACGCTCGGCTACGGACGCTTTCTGGAAAGTAAAAGGAGGGACTTTTGTTGATAGTAGAACTCAAGTCAAGCAGTCATTTATATTATGTTGACAATTCACTCTCTTGCACACACAGACACAATACCAAACACATTGATTGTATTTTCTGTCACTTGTGGTTGGACTGAAACCAAACAAAATACAATGTCATGTACTGTTCCATTGGAAACAGTAATGACTTTTCTCCTTTTTTTATTATTATCCAGACAGTACAAGTTCAACTGGTGTTCAGTTCCCTAATGAACTCTGCACTGATGGAGGAGTAAGCTCTGGCTACCAGGTCACAGGCTCAGCTACGGACACTTTCTGGGAGGGGTGGGAATAGAAGGACTTTATTGTGTGATGTAATAGCTAGTGTGTTCGCCCAGGAAGGGCTCTAAAATATTTACCTGAAGATTCAACTGAATCCTGGTCAATCGGTACCCTTTCCCAGGGTATATAATGAGACTGTCCATGTAGTTAAGACAGTTTTGGCGGCTCAGTATGAAAAGTTATAGCCGTAACGATAAGGGTGTTTTTTTTTTCCATTGTTGTGCCCTGAGGAAAAACTACTACTTTCCTCATTTCATACAGGTAAAAACGAGTACCTAGCTCCAGGACAACAGGATAGGATGTTAAATGAAGGTCCTGTGTTTAAGGAGAGCCACGCTTAAAGCACATTAAAGATCCCACTACACAAAAAGAGTGGGGGTCCTTCCAAGTGTAAGTTGATCCACTCAAACTTTACAGTTTGACCTTATAGAGCTTGCACCTACTGTACAATATAATTTTATTTGTGTGATATGCCTTAAACTTAAAGTTTATAATGATATGCCTTACAGTTTACAATTATGCAAAACAAACAATGGGGAGACAACCCATAAACTTTTAAGGTGATCATCATCTATTTTGTCTCTATAGGAAAATTCAAATAAATAAACAAACAAACAAACAAACCCACCTGCGACGGCTGCCATGATCTGTTTGACCTCAGCTGACCACTGGTACGCAGACAGGGACGTGTAGATGGAGGGAAAGTCTCGCTGCCACATCTTCTTACCAACCGCCCAGATCGCTACAAGCTCGGGGTTTGCCTGGGAAGAATGTTTCATACACACATGTTTAAAGTTAAAACTTTTGATCCAACACAAAAAATTCTCTCACCTACAGCTTTTGACCAGTCACTCTGGTCTTCCTCAGTAGACTGACCCAGTGAGGCTTGTCACGTGGCTTCTTTGAAGTGTGACGTCAACACTGGGTCAAAGGTATCTGGTAGACGATGTCGGCCCCCCGTTGCGGTTTAGTGACGTTTACCAGATACCTTTGATCCAGTGTTTGTCCAATTTTCTTGATACTGCAGCAGACCTTCTGATTTTGATATCTCAAGTTCTGGATATGCAGGAAATGGAATGTACAGAACTTACATTTTTAATAGCCTGGGGAATCCTTTTCCAGAGGTATTTAGCATTGTTTCTGTGGGAAGGAAACAAAACAGGAATCATGACTTTGTCAACATACATAGTTACAGTCGTTCTGCAAAATTCTTCATCGGCCAAATTTATGAATAATTTAAGAATAATTAAAGCTAGTGCATATAGTTGTTGACACAAGAAAGGACTCACCATAAATTTTTGGCCGATCTAGTCAACCTTCACCAGATGTGTGAATTTTTGGTGGATCAAAAATTTATGGTGAGTCCTTTCTTGTGTTTGAACAAAGCTTGAACTTAACTACTATGGACTGTACCAATATGAGCTTTCATTGAAAGTTAGTTCACAGTTTAACTTGCACGTGTGGATAACATGTCAATGTTGATGACAGAACAACACTAGAACTACCTTTGACCTCGCGCATGCACAGTGCAAACCGTGTGGCAGCTTATTCTGTAAAGGTGAAAGGTCAGACTCACAGGTCCTTCTGCAGCAGGTACACAGCCAGCAGCTGGCAATACACCGTCGGCGTGGCAACGCCACCTGGGGACTGTCCACAAAGTACAACATCAACCTATTAGGACTGCATTTTCTAGTGGGGATGGTCAGTGAGTCCATGAGATACAACATCAAACTTTATCAAGCTTGTACTTACATGTACAAAACTGGTGTGGTACGCCTAAAGGCGGTATACTGGTTATGCAAAACAAACAAGCAACTAGATAGACACAAATAGATACAAATTGCTTGGCAGCTATCTGAAACATCTGACTCTTTACAGAATTTGACCAGTTGCTTTATTCTATATCATCACAGTTCTTCCTGAATCTAATCTTATAAAAAAATTATCTATTAAAACAAAATTAATGTTAACGTCTTGATTCAAATCATAAGTTGAGTAAGAGTGAAAGAAGTATGCAGTGGTTTTGTTTTTCATCAGTTCTTCTGTATTTTTCAGAAAATCATTCGAAATCATTCGAAAAAGTCTCAAATTAGCAACTAAAATTTACCCAAAATCGCCCCCCTCCCCCTTCAATTTCCATGCACTCACTAGCTGAAGTTTACTCGCTATTTTAGGCACCAAACATTGCGATCGTAGCCTGTTATTTGTACCATATAACTCACTAGATGTTACAAAACCTTTCTAATCTCAGAAGAAGCTGTTTTACCTCCAGTTCCTGCCGTTCTAGGCTGGCTCCGAGCGACAGAAAATCACAGGAATCTCCTGCCATTTCACACGGCATTTTGTACAGCTATAGAAGTAAGCTGTTCAGGGTATCTAAAATAGTGCCTGAAAATATCATAACTTTTCATTCAGCATATTACATCTAATTATGGCATATGCATTACCAAAATTACTACAATAAGTATAATAGTAATATATTAAGTCTTTGATGTTCAGTAAAATATCATATAGTTTTAAATTTCTGATATATTTTATCAGGCAGTAAAATATATGAAGGAGACAGCTATCCGTCTGATAATGGTAAAGATCCACCATAACAAAAGCCGGGTTTTTCTGTGGAATAAAAAAGCGGGAATTCTCCAAAAATTTCGCCCTGACAAACAATTTTCAATAATCCAGAAGACTTCCGAACAATTATGGGTGAGTTTTTCGTTCAAATTATCTTTCTAACTTGCATAGATCGGTCTTAGATCGGGTTTATTTTTGTGTTTGAAGGGGGGGGGCGATTTTACCACCTGCTTACTATAAACAGTATGTCTACGTTCCAGCTGTGTTATTGTTATGACATTTGGTTTCATTTACAGGTGTCAAAAACAGTGATCGTTGTGAAAAATACCCTCTTTTGTCGCACACAACATTTTACCCTGTTTTATCTATGTGTATAATACAAAGACATCCATGTGATGTCACAAATTATGTTGCTAAAATGTTCTTTTTATAATTGATACATATAGTTAACGTTAGATTGATACACTAATCTTTGTCTCTTTATACTTGTGATTGTTATGATAACACTTCTTAATACTTTGAAGCCTGTGTCCTAACAACAATTACTAGTAATTTGTCTCTATTGTGTTGCCTTCCTCAATCCCATTCTAATTAATCACACTAATTACTGTCTATTGTTTATCCTGACCTGCCTCCATTATGAGTCAACTAACATTCACCAGGTAACTTATAGTCTTTATAAGCTATGATTTCTTTTATAAAGGGTTAATGCCCAGCCCGCTACACTCACTCGGTGGTTTATTCGGTGGTTATCGCACCTGACCAGGGATTATCTCACCTTATACACCGAGGATAAGGCAGGGCATTAACGTTATTATTATATGGCCTATATATTATCATGTTATCATATGGCCAAATACTACAAGTCTTAACATTATTGTTACTGGTAGTGTCCTATTCCTTGTATAATTGGTACGGTCCAAAAAGTGGTCGGTAATTCTTATAACCGACCACTTTTTTCATTATTCACCATTTATGATGTTATGGCCTGATAACCTATGGGAATTCGAGGCTTCTCATTGGTCATATCCCCATGACATCATATCCTGTTTGCTGACCTCACTTCCTGTCCGCAGCCTCTGACCCGTCCTCCCCAGCTGACAACGACAGCTGTGAGGGCGATGACCTGGAGGACGTTGACTCCGCCGGCGAGGACGCGGAGGTCACGGGGTCGGGTTCCGCGCGGAAGCGGGTGTCGGCTCGGACGGTGCTGACCGGGCGGGGCGTTACTATGGCGATGCTGCTGTCGGACGGAATTCTGGAACCCGGAGACGCCTGTCTGTCTATTGACTATCTGGTAAGTTAATAAGTTTACTAGCTTGTGCAGACGAATAAAATTATGAAAAACAAGATTTCAAAACAGGAAGTTCTGATGCAGTACCTAGGAAAGCCACCAGGGGGCTTGAAATTTAATGATTTACAGTTTTCGTGACACCCTGCCAACACACCAAATATGAAACCAGTCCATCCATTCTCGAGTTATCTTGGTGAAAGACACACACAAGCATACACACTGCCAAAAGTATAACCTCCATTTTTCCAGTATAAGAATTTAAATCCTGACAGCTGTCACTCATCCTGTCACCCAGTTGCAGGCCTGCTTAGCTTAGATACATTTCTGCCTTTTCCAGAGTCAGAAGCTTTTTCGCGGCAATCACACTGTGATTTTGAGCTCATTGACTGAAAAAAAAATTCCAGAGCTTAACTTTTTCTCCACTGCTATCACCCTAATTTCCTATGGTTATCTCCCCTTCCCTTCCCCAGGGTCAGAAGTTTAAATCCCTCCTGCTATAAAATTGCAACATGACGTAACCCAATACTAGTTGTGCATACTTTATTCAGGAATTTATGGTGTATTTCTTGTAATTCGGTACTACAATGTACATGACGCCATATTTTACAAGATTTTTTTCGGTGCCCCTCCCCCAGGTCGATTTTTTGTCAGTGGCCCTCCCCTTGGTTAAAATATTTTTTCCATGGCCCTCCCCTCAGGCCAAAAAATTTTTCAATGGCCCTCCCCCCCAGTGCACCAGCCCTTCCCCCGGTAAATATCGTACAGTCCCTTAGGCAGACACAAAATGAATGAAACTAGCATAAATAACTATACATAGTAATAGTAATAGTAATAATAAAGTACATAGTAATCAGAATGATCAGACAATAATCAGACTCCTCTCCCCTAGTGCTGCATACCGGTTCACTGGACTTGGATCCGGACTTGTAAGAATGTTTAGGTCCAAGTCCAAAAAAACCTAAAAGTCAAGAACCGAGTCCGGACTTACTACCAGAAAAGACCATTTCACATACCCCTTTTCTTTCCAAACCACCTAAAACCTTCCGTAGATTATAAAATCTTTGCTGCAAAACAAAGAAAACATTGCCATCAGGCATCGTCAAGTACAGGCCTCCATGTTATGTGGCCAAAGTTTCACCCAGACAACATTGCAAGGTTGCCAACATGCAATTTTGTATATGCCATGGGTTTAGGTCCGGACTTACAAGTCCAGAACTGAACCTAAACCTCTGGACTTGAATCCAGACCTGAACCTAAAATTGGGTTTAGGTATGCATCACTACTCTCCCCTTCCCCAGGGTCAGAAGTTTGTAGGAGATCTCCTGCCCAACGGTAAGATAAAGTGGCAGGGCAGCAACCGAGTCTTCAACTCCCCCAGTGCCTGGGCCATTCACTGTAAGAAGATGGTCAACCCTTCCAAGAAGTCAGGGTGTGGATGGGCCTCCGTAAGTATGCTCACTTTCCTGTAAAATTAAGACTATTTTTTTTCTTTCAAGTCATGAAGGAAGATTTTCTTTAGGATGTAGGAATTTTCTTTTTTTCACAACCAGGAAAGACTCACTTTGGGTGTGTGTAAAAAGAAAATTCCTACATCCTATGTTCAACCAACCTGATGAAACTGTTTTTGGAATGAAGATTTATTTTAAATTTCTGTAAACTCAGCATTTAGATGTACAAGTAACAGTCAATGTACGTGCACGTGTATATAGCCTTGTTTGTTCTTGGCCTATTTCTATGCATGTGCTCTAGCTGGTCAGGTCCCTAGAACTTTGTAGAAGCTTGATGGCCAACACATCTAAGCCAGGAGAATTAGAAATGTCTTGATTCTATTGATTTATGCAGATGTGCTAATATGGACAGTCAGGACAGATTATTGTCAGACTAGTCGGCTTAGAACTACCTGTTACCATAGTAGTGTTGGAAGCTGTGACAACTGGTTTCCATAGTGACAGAAAATCCCGAGCTCCTATTTGAAGTTCTGTTCATCCTTTCTGTACAGGTTAAGTACAAAGGGAAGAAACTGGACATCTACAAAACCATCTGGTTCAGGAAGCAGAGGGGAGCCAACGCACCGGTCAGTTTGTGTTCCATTATGACTAGATAGTACAACATTGATATACATTGTACTTCCAATTGAGAGAGACCAAAGGAAAACTCATCTACTGTTCAGGACAAGAGACTTATTACAGCTGTGGCTCAGCTAAGACTTTGATTTTGATCATGTTAATTAGTAGTTTTCATGGTGAGTTGCTTTTATTTCTAAATCTGTTACCTTCTTTCTTGCATCCTAATCTTCCTTCTGCCCCTCTCTCTTCCTTCCTTCCTTCATCCTTTTGTTGTCTTATTTCTTGATTTTCTAGAGAATTTTTCATTATGCATATGCAGATATCCTTGCTCTTATGTAATCCTACACAATGCTTGATCTGTATTCAGATTCAAATTTTAGAATGGATGTAAAGTTGCCTGTGATTGGCTGCTGATTTGTGTGGTGATCGGTGATTGGTTACAGAGCCCGGCCAATACGGATGAGTCTATGGAGGATGAGGAGGAGGAGGAAGAGGAGGAGGAGGGCAAGAAGGAGGAGGTATAACCACGTCCGTTTCTCCTCAGGAATTGTTGTTTGCATCCTGGAATATCCGGAATCTTTCTTGAAGTTTTGTTCTCTCAGTCTGGAACTGCCTGGAAAAACTACAACATGAGTCTATATACAGTAATATTACATGAATGATAGAAGTTACTGTAAAACTTCCTGGAAAAACTACAACTACAACACAAGTCCATATATATCTGTATCTGTATCTGTATAGCCGGTATAACCGCCTTTCGGCGTAACACACCAGCTTCGCAGGCACGCGGCGCGGCGGCAGCTGGCTATATTACACCGATCGACTTGTTACACCTAACCCTTGAACTTCTGGCTCTAGACATTGTTTAAAGCTATCTATTGACAGTGCCCTTACTGTACTTGGTGACAGTGAGTTCCACTCTGCGATAGTTCTAGGAAAGAATGAATTCTTAAACACCTCAATCCTTGGTTGATAACTCTGGTACTTGAATGCGTGGCTATTGTCATGTCATGACAGAAATTTCTGGAAAGCAGAAAAGTTACCTGGAAATAAAATATTGCACCATCCTAATCATCACTTTAAAATACTATGGAAAACTTTGATTATGAGTACTGCAACCTGTCTGGTAAGGTTTTTAAGATGTGATCTTAGAATACAGATGGCTTAAAAATAGAAGATTTTTTTGAAAACTTGATGTGAAACATTTACTTTGTCCTCCAGTCGTTTCACTAAACCTCCATGGACAAGCTTTGAACATAATTTTCTACTCAATCTTCTTTTTTTCCTTAACATTTTGGTAGCTGCTCTTCTACCTTCATCAGAGCAGTGTGCTTTCTCTTTGTCA